CATCATCATCATCATCATCATCATCATCATCATCATCATCATCATCATCATCAATGTGCTTTAGATCTATGAAGTGATCAGCTGAGCTTTATACCTCCTTTTTTCCCCTCATTTTATTTCGTTTTTCCCCCTTTTATTTTTCTTTCATTTCATTTCTTTTACGACGCAGTGAGATCAGGCGCTCGTCAATTTTTGGGCATGTGGAGTTATCGGTATCATCTGACAGCTGATTTATTTGCCTTGCTTCCAATGAAATAAACATCCATTTATCGTGAATAGAACTCGAGATATTTGCGATTGAATGAGATGAGGTCGCCATTTTTCAGTGTTGAAATTAGCGAGAAAGTGGCCGCCAAAGTTTGGTGACTACAATAGCTAAAGAGTCTTTAAAAACTGAAAAATGACACATTTTTTTAAACCTTTAATCAGGGTTTTTCAGTAAAATTCACTGAGTAATATGTTGTTATATAGACATAAAAGAGGTTGTCAAAAATAAAAATTTGATAAAAATTTCCAAACTGAAATACCTGTTTTTCCGATTTTCTGTATTTTGACGAGCGCCTGATTTCACCACGCTACCTCCCATTTGATGAAGATAAGATGAAGAAGAAGAAGAAGAGGAAGAGGAAGAAGAAGGGGGAGAGGAAGAAGAAGAAGAAAGTAGAAGAAGAAAAAGAAGAAAAAGAAGAAGAAGAAGAGGAAGAAGAAGAAGAGGAAGAAGAAGAAGAAAGTAGAAGAAGAAAAAGAAGAAAAAGAAGAGGAAGAAGAAGAAGAAGAGGGAGAGGAAGAAGAAGAAGAAAGTAGAAGAAGAAAAAGAAGAGGAAGAAGAAGAAGAAGAGGGAGAAGAAGAAGAAGAAGAAAGTAGAAGAAGAAAAAGAAGAGGAAGAAGAAGAGGGAGAGGAAAAAAAAGAAGAAAGAGTGTTTCTTACCTTAAGTGGTTCTGGTGTTGGTTGTTTTGCTGACATCGTTTTGATAAAAAAAATGTTCTGAAAGTTTTCATATTTGGAAAGCTATTTTGTGCGCTTGGTGTAATTGTATGTAATGATTCTCCGATATTGCTTTTGTGTAAAAATGTGTAGGGTTGATAAAAATGTTCTCTGTAAAAATATTCCATGGTTGAAAATATGTATGGCTTGTCATGTTTTGTTGAAAATGTTTATGGCTGAAAATGTTTTTTTGTAAAAAAAACCACCAATGCGTAAGACTGAATATGGTTTTGCAGACAAAATTTTGATAAGTTTTTGTAAAAAGAAAACGATGTGTAAGGCTGAAAATGTTTTTGTGGACGACATTTTGGAAAAGTTTTCGAGAAAAAAAAATCCCAGATGATTAATTAAGGCTGAAAATGTTTTTGTGAACTGTGTTTTCTAATTGTTTTGTTTTTGAGAAGAACACATAT